TAAAGGAGGAAATAGAATGCAATGCATTCATTTTAGGAGACTTCAACACACCACATACTCCAAAGGACAGATCCACCAGACAGAAAATAAGTAAGGACACAGAGGCACTGAACAACACAGTAGAATAGATGGACCTAATAGACATCTACAGAACTCTACACCCAAAAGGCAGGATACACATTCTTCTCAAGTGCACATGGAACATTCTCCAGAATAGACCACATACTAGGTTACAAAAAGAGCCTCAGTAAATTCAAAAAGACTGAAATTCTACCAACCAACTTCTCAGACCACAAAGGCATAAAACTAGAAATTAATTGTACAAAGAAAACAAAAAGGATCACAAACACATGGAGGCTTAACAACACGCTCCTAAATAATCAATGGATCAGTGACCAAATAAAAACAGAGATCAGGCAATATATGGAGACAAATGACAACAACAGCACAAAGCCCCAACTTCTGTGGGACACAGTGAAAACAGTTCTAAGAGGAAAGCATGTAGCAATCTGGGCCTATTTAAAAAAGGAAGAACAATCCCAAATGAATAGTCTAAGTTCACAATTAGTGAAATGGGAAAAAGAAGAACAAATGAGGGCCAAAGGCAGCAGAAGGAGGGACTTAATAAAGATCAGAGAAGAAATAAATAAAATTGAAAAGAATTAAACAAGAGAAAAAAATCAATGAAAACAAGAGCTAGTTCTTTGAAAAAATAAACAAAATAGATAAACCCCTAGCCAGACTTATTAAGAGAAAAAGAGAATCTACATACATCAACAGAATCAGAAATGAGAATGGAAAAATCATGATGGACTCCATAGAAATACAAAGACTTATTAGAGAATACTATTAAAATCTAAATGCTAAAAAACTGGATAACCAAGAAGAAATGGATAACTTCCTAGAAAAATACAATCTCCCAAGACTGTCCCAGGAAGAAACAGAAAATCTAAATAGACCAATACCAGCAATGAAATTGAAGCGGTAATCAAAAAACTGCCCAAGAACAAAACTCCTGGACTAGATGGATTCACTGCTGGATTTTATCAGACATTTAGAGAAGACATAATACCCATTCTCCTTAAAGTTATCCAAAAAATAGAAGAGGAGGGAATACTTCCAAACTCATTCCATGAAGGTGGCATCACTCTAATAACAAAACCAGGCAAAAACACCACAAAAAAGAGAAAATTACAGACCAATATCCCTGAAGAAATTAGAAGCAAAAATACTCAACAAAATATTAGCAAACAGAATACAAAAATTCATCAAAAGGATCATACACCATGATCAAATAGGATTCATTCCAGGGATGAAAGGGTGGTACAACATTTGAAAATCCATCAACATCATCTACCACATAGACAAAAGGAAAGACAAAAACCACATGATCATCTCCATAGATGCTGAAAAAGCATTTGACAAAATTCAACATCCACTCATGATAAAAACTCTCGACAAAATGGGTACAGGGGGCAAGTACCTCAACATAATAAAGGCCATATATGACAAACCCACAGCCAACATCATACCTAACAGCCAGAAGCTGAAAGCTTTTCACCTAAGATCGGGAACAAAACAAGGATGCCCACTCCACCTACTGTTATTCAACATAGTACTGGAGGTCCTAGCCACAGCAATCAGACAAAACAAAGAAATACAAGGCATCTAGATTGGTAAAGAAGAAGTCAAACTGTCACTATTTGCAGATGACATGATATTGTACTTTATAAACCCTGAAGAATCCACTCCAAAACTACTAGAACTAATATCTGAATTCAACAAAGTTGCAGGATACAAAATTAATACACAGAAACCTGTGGCTTTCCTATACACTAATGATGAACTAGCAGAAGAGAAATCAGGAAAACATTTCCACTCACAATTGCATCAAAATAGGAATAAACCCAACCAAAGAAGTGAAAGACCTATACCCTGAAAACTACAAGACACTCCTAAGAGAAATTAAAGAGGACACTAACAAATGGAAACTCATCCCATGCACTTGGCTAGGAAGAATTAATATTGTCAAAATGGTCATCTTGCCCAAAGCAATCTACAGATTTAATGCAATAGCTATCAAAATACCAACAGCATTCTTCAATGAATTGGAAGAAATAGTTCTAAAATTCATATGGAACTACAAAAGACCCCGAATAGTCAAAGCAATCCTGAAAAGAAGAATAAAGCGGGGGGTATCTCGCTTCCCAATTTCAAGCTCTACTACAAAGCCACAGTAATCAAGACAATTTGGTACTGGCACAAAACAGACCCACAGACCAGTGGAACAGAATAGATAGTCCAGATATTAACCCAAACATATACGGTCAATTAATATATGTTAAAGGATTCATGGATATACAATGGGGAAATGACAGCCTCTTCAACAGCTAGTGTTGGCAAAACTGGACAGCTACATGTAAAAGAATGAAACTGCATCATTGTCTAACCCCATACACAAAAGTAAATTCAAAATGGAACACAGAACTGAATGTAAGTTATGAAATCATAAAACTCTTAGAAAAAAATATAGGCAAAAATCTCCTGGACATAAACATGAGCAACTTCTCCATGAACATATCTCCCCAGGCAAGGGAAACAAAAGGAAAAACGAACAAGTGTGACTATATCAAGCTGAAAAGCTTCTCTACAACAGAGGACACCATCAACAGAACAAAAGGCATCCTACAGTATGGGAGAAGACATTTATAAATGACATATCCAATAAAGGGTTGACATCCAAAATATATAAAGAGCTCACGCACCTCAACAAACAAAAAGGAAATAATTCAATTAAAAAATGGGCACAGAATCTGAACAGATACTTCTCCAAAGAAGAAATTCGGATGGCCAACAGACACATGAAAAGATGCCCCACATCGCTAATCATCAGAGAAATGCAAATTAAAACCACAATGACATATCACCTCACACCAGTAAGGATGGCCACTATCCAAAAGACAAATAACAACAAATGTTGGCGAGGATGTGGAGAAAGGGGAACCTTCCTACACTGCTGGTGGGAAGGTTCAACCATTGTAGAAAGCAGTATTGAGGTTCCCCAAAAAACTCAAAATAGAAATACCATTTGACCCAGGAATTCCACTTGTAGGAATTTACCCTAAGAATCGGCAGCCCAATTTGAAAAAGACATATGCACCCCTATGTTTATTACAGCACTATTTATAATAGCCAAGAAATGAAAGCGACCTAAGTGTCCATCAGTAGATGAATGGATAAAGAAGATGTGGTACATATACACAATGGAATATTATTCAGCCATAAAAAGAAAAGAAATCCTACCATTTGCAACAACACGGATGGAGCTAGAGGGTATTATCCTCAGTGAAATAAGCCAGGCAGGAAAAGAGAAGTATCAGATGATTTCACTCATCTGTGGAGTAGAAGAACAAAGAAAAAAACTGAAGGAACAAAACAGCAGCAGACTCACAGAACCCAAGAATGGTCTAGTGATTACAAAAAGGAAAGGGACTCTGGAGGGTGTGTGGAAAGGGAGGGATAAGGGGAAAAAGGGGGCATTATTATTAGCAGACATAATGTAGGAGGGGGGCATGGGGAGGGCCATACAACACAGAGAAGACAAGTAGTGATTCTACAGCATCTTACTTCACTGATGGACAGTAACTGTAATGGGGTATGTGGGAGGGACTTGATGATGGGGGGAGTCTAGTAAACATAATGTTGCTTATGTAATTGTAGATTAATGATACCAAAATTAAAAAAAAAATTGACCTCCACATCTCAGGTCCCAAATAGCTGGTTTGGTCATTTATTGGATATAGTACTGGTATTTTTCCTTCAGTAAACATTGCTGAGCACATACCATGAGCCAGGCTGCTCTGGCACTAGGGCGCCTACACAGCAGTGAAGACAATGCCCAGAATGGCTTGCCTTTATTGAACTTACACATCACGAGGGTAGGGAGCAAAGACACAATAAGCAAATAAAACGCAATACATGTCAACTGATGGTAAGAGTTATTGTGAAAAAAAGCAAGAAAGATGGATGGTAGGGTAGGTAATATAAGGCCAGTGCAAGGAGGTGGGGGCAAGCAGGAGCTGGTGGTCAGTTTTTCCATGGTCATAGAGGTTTCATTAGGATGGTGCCACTTGAGATAAGACCTGAAGGAGCTGAAGAACAAAACCACCACCACGCATCTATTTGTTTTAATGGTAATATTACTCCTTCACTGTTGGGTGCATCATTTGAAATGGGTCAACAGCTGAATGGCTAAATGATACTGTCTTTACCTACTAGTCACCCTGATCTATTATAATCAAATCAAAAAGGAAGACATTCCAACTATTGGTGACCTTCTGAATCTCACTGTTGATACATCTGCCATTTGAGAAAAACAGTTTAAATGTTTATTTTATTCCTGTATGTCACAAATATATTCATTTTATGATACCCCTCACACACATGTTTCAAATGTAGCAAATTCGGTTTAGTCTTAAATGAGCTGAAGTTTCATCATGGGCTAAAATTTTAAGACATAAAATGACTACTGAAACTGAATTTTAATCATAACGATGAATCACAACATGCATCTTCAGCTAGGCATGTATTATGGATAAGTCTAGTTTTCTACAGAGAATAATCACATGTTCTAATTACCATTTTGGTTATACACATAATTAATAATATTCTGTCTTAATGGGACACACTGAATCTTCAGACAGTTGCAAGCTTTAACTATGCATACTGCCAAATCCAACTGTCAGCTGCACAGCAAACACAAAGGAATCTTGATGTAGTGTTTTAGCATTGATAATAATATGCATATCTTTATACATGATACAATGGAAAAGTTAATTGCCTTTCTTCCTTCAAAATTTTCTCCACGCTACTAATTTTGTTGCTTCATTGATCATTTACCCTAAATTACATATATTGGTGAGTGATCTTATAAGCAATAAAAGCATGAGAGTAAATGTGACCCCAAGATCCAGAGAAGAAAAAAATATTGTAGGACTTACTGATTGTAAACTTTCATTTTCACGTAAACAAGCTGTATGAAGTTCTGATTTCAAGGTTGCAATGTGACTTCGATGAGATGTTATTTCCTTCTCTAATGTAGCAATTCTAGTGCTTGCAAGCTGGTAGACATCCATGAAACTTTTAATCATACCCTTAAGAAATAAAAATAATGTCACATGCAATTCAAATAAAGCTGTCCCCAAAGAAGAATTTCCATAATTTGAAGGCAAAATCATTAAAATTTAAAAATAAATACTTCGTCTTTCTTTAATATAATAAAGCTAAATCTCACATTTTGTACTGAGAACTAATAAAGCTAAACCTCACAGTTTATATTGAGGGACTATTTTAAGAAAGTTTGGGAGAGAAATAATTGAGACTTCTTTTCCAGAGCATTTGTTTAAATAAGATGTACTTTGATCTACTGTGCTTAAAATTTAGAATGCAGTTTTTTAAGATGGCACACTTATTTTCTTTGGCATACTTATTTTCTTTGTAAAGTTAAGTTCAAGTTTTAATTTGACCTAAATCTCAATAAGACACACAAAAGATGGATATATTAAAAAGATATCTCAAAATGAGTTAGTAAAGTTTTCAATCCACCTAAAAAAGCAAATACTTTCAAATAAAAGGGGCTGAAATAATCCTGCCATTTTCTTAAGGGTAAATAATGTGATTCCTACACAGTAAAGAAGTATAATTATGTTCATTCAAATAACAGAGAAATGACCTTCCATCATACTATGTTTAATAAAATAACATAACCAAGTGCTGATATGCTGGTAACTTTTTTTAAATTACAGTTCAATCATATTTTATGGGCTCTCTCTTCTAAAGCAACTACAGGTTGCTTTATATCCAAAAATACTATTTACACTTTTTTTTAAAGTCTTTGAAAATACTTCAAATCTATCAAAATAAAATCAAACATTTCATTTTATAATACATAATGGTATACAGTTTTGTTACATAATCTATTATTTACAGGGAAAAAAAATGATGTTCCAACCACAGCCACAACGTAGTAAAATATACACAGTATAAGAATTTCCAAATTACATTTAATCTGAAGACTGATTTGGGAAAGCCTAGAGAAACTAGATATTTGAGTAATTATGATTGTGTATGAAATAATAATTTGGTGGACAAAGAATAAAATACAATATGCACAATGTTTGACAAACAGAAGTAGATTAGCTATTTGTAGGTAATAGGAAGGTTCACACACTTTTGCTAAATTCCTATCTGCCCTGAAAAATCCAACTCAGGAGGGGTGGAGCCAAGATGGCAGCATGAGGATAGCAGCAGAATCTCCTCCCAAAACCATACATATTTTTGAAAATACAACAAAGACAACTCTTCCTAAAAGAGAGACCAGAAGACACAGAACAACAGCCAGACTACATCTACACCGTGAGAACCCAGCGCCTCGCGAAGGGGGTAAGATACAAGCCGCGGCCCAGCGGGACCTGAGCTTCCTTCACCCCAGCTCCTGGTGGGAGAAGAGGAGTCGAAGCAGGGAGGGAGAGGGAGTCCAGGACTGCTAAACACCCAGCTCTAGCCATCCACACCAGAGCACAGACACAGTGCGTGCATGGGGTGCTGGAAACTAGGGAAACAGGACAGTAAGAACTCTGAGTGGTCCCCACAGCCAGCGCCCCAGGGACAAAGAAAAGCGAGTGCTTTTTGAAAGTCTTAAAGGGACAGGGACCCCACCGCTGGACAGAAGCATC